CTTATCTTTCACCATGCACTAAATTAAAATCCAAATGGATTAAAGATCTAAATATTAAAACAGATACATTAAACTTGCTGGAAGGTAACTCTGGAAGACACTGGCATAGGAAAAGACTTTATGAACAAATCCTCAGTAGCTCGGGAACTAGCAGAAAGAATCAACAACTAGGATCTCATCTTATTAAAAAGCTTCTGTACTTCAAAAGAAACCATCAGCAGAACTAAGAGACAACCTACAATGTGGGAAAAAATTTTGGCCTTGGCTTTTTTCACACCAAAATGGCAGATGTGCATTGTGGCCATAAGACTATCTGGCCCATGGAATCAAGCATTTACTCTCTGCATCTTTATAGAAAAAGTTTGCTGACTCCTGATCTAATCTTAGTAATTCTCCTTCTTCTGACATATATGCCCTGGAGAAAAGCTTAATAAATGTGTTTCAGGAGACAATAAAATGAACATTTATAGTAAATCAATTTGCAACCACAAAACCCTGGAAACAGTCCAAATGTTCCTTCACCAAACAGGAGAACAGATGAACTGGTTCAGGACACAGGGCCTGTTACACAACAATGAGAGTGAATAGCAGTTATTTCCATGAGTACGGATCTTACAGAATGTGGAATAACAAAAGTAAGTCAGAGAAATACACACCATAGAGTTCCATGTACAGAATAGTTCAAGAAGAAAAATAAACAATGTTTGATGGGTGTATTTGCCCCAAACAGCAGAATAAATAAAATTCAAGAGAGTGGTGGTCTACAGTATGAAAACGAGAGATGTAGGGTATAGGAACAATTTGTAACAGAATGGGAATTGTTTATTTTTGGTGCTACTATGGGTTGAAGTCAGGGCCTCAGGCGTACTAGGCAAACACTGCACCGCTAAGCTACATCTCCAGCGCCCAATTGATTGGTTTTTAGGTGGTGGGGGGTATTGGGGATCAAACTCAGGACCTTGTACTTGCGAGACAGGTGGTGAATTCACTGAGCTAAATCCCTGGCCCCGTTTGATTTTAAACTGTATTTTGAGACAGTGTCTTACTAAATTGCCCTGCTTGGCCTTGAATTTAAGATCCTCCTGCCTCAGCTTCTTGAGTAGCTAAGATTACTGGCAAGTGCCACCATCTAGCTGTATTTCTTAAACAAGAAGGTATTTGCATGGATGTTTATTATTCTATCTTTATTTTAACATTTCTGAAATCAGCATGGCTTTTAGGTCACTATCATCCAAGTGGCAGTTGTATGTCATTGGTGCTGCCTTAAAAATAAATACCTTAGCTGGCTTATTTCACTTATGTCTCCCTTTTCATATCTGTAAAAGAGACACAAAAATATATAATTGTGAAAGACATCTTTCAATGAGTATAAAATTTAGTGACAATAATAGAAACCATCCAGAATTTTGAAACAGAAAATATTTAAACATACGTTAAGAATTAAGAGGGGGTTGGGAATGAGGTTCAGAGGTAGGGAACATATCTAGCATACCTGAGGCCCTAGGTTTGATACCCAGCACTGAAAGAGTAGTCTGAAATACTATACACTAATTAATGATATAAATTATGTATACTCTGGAAAGTAATTCCAAGAATAAAAAACTATGTTACGATTGAAATGAGATTATAGATTTTTTGTTTTGTTTTTTGAGATAGGGTCTCACTACGTAGTTGAGACTGACCTGGAACTCACTATGTAGCCCAGCTGGTCTCGAACTCACAATGACCCTCCTGCCTCAGCCTCCTGAGTGCTGGGATTACAGGTGTGCGCCACCACACCTGGGTAGATTATAGATTTTTAAAATACTATAAAATTGTATTTTTCCTTAATTTTTCCAGCATTTTAAAAAAATTTACTTTTTATTAGTACATATTTGCAGTAAATAATGATTATATTCATTGGGGGAACTGGTACATGTATATAACATATCTCCATTATATCTCTATTCTATTTTCTTAATTTTTAAAAACATTTATTTTGCTCTATTTATATTTTGGATTCCTCATATAAGAGAAATCACCTGAAAAGCTTTTATGTCTGATTTATTACAATTATCATTATGGTCTCAAAGAGCATCCATGTTCCCATAAATGACTCAATTTTATTTCTCTTTGTGGCAGATTACTACTTCATTGTGTATATTTATCACATTTTCTCTATCCATTCATCTGCTGATGGATATCTCTTGTATGATTTAGCTAGTATGCCTGGTGTGGTGGCACACACCTGTAATCCCAGCACTTGGGAGGCTGAGGCAGGAAGATCACTGTGAGTTCGAGACCAGCCTGGGCTACATAGTGAGTTCCAGGTCAGTTTCAACTACATAGTGAGACCCTGTTTCAAAAAAAAAAAAAAACCAAAAATTAGCTAGGATGAATCATGCTGCTTTAAACACAGATATGCATGTATCACTGTAATATGATGTATTTAATACTTTCAAGAAGGTACCTAGGGCCAGAGATTTAGCTCAGTGGTTTTGCCACCTGCCTTGCAAGCATAAGGGCCTAAGTTCCGTCCCTGATACAAAAAAAAAGAAGAAACAATAGCTGGGTTTAGTGGAATTTCTAGTTTTAGTCTTTTGAGGAATCTCCATACTGATTTCCACAGTGGTTGTATTGGTTCACATTTCTGCCAACAATATAGCTATTCTTTCTGGAGTAAGATGAAATCTCAGTGTTGCTCTAATTTGCATTTCTTGAAGGCCCAATAATGTTGAACTTTTTTTTTTCATGTACTTATTGGCTACTTGTTCTTTGGAGAAGTGATTGTTCATGCCAGTTGCCCATTTTTTATTGGGTCTTTTATTTGGGGGGGTCTTTTTTTTAGTTCTTTATACATTCTAGATATTAATCCAATATCTGAGGAATAGCTGGCAAATATTTTTCCCATTCTGTAGGTCGTCTCTTCACTCTGTTGATTGTTCCCTTTGCTGTGCAGAAACTTTTCTTTTGATATGGTCAAAGGATTTCTTGATTTTTGGTATTATTTCTTGTGCAATTGGGGTTCTTCTGTTCAGAAAGTCCTTCCTATGCATATGTCTTCAAGAGTTTTACCTGTTTCATTTTCCAGCAGAGCAAGTGTTTTGTTTCTGTAATAACATTTAGTTCTTTGATCCATTTTTATTTTATTTTAGTACATGGTAAAATAT